CAAAGCTGGAGGTACCACACTACCAGACTCCAAGCTATACTACAAACCTATAGTAACAAAAACAGCATGGTACTTTTACAAAAACAGGCACATAGATCAATGGAACAGAATAGAGAACACAGAAAAAAAGCCACACACCCGCAACCATCTGATCTTTGACAACGTTGACAAAAATAAGCAATGGGAAGAGGACTTCCTAATTAATAAATGGTGCTAGGATAACTGGTTAGCCATATGCAGAAGATTGAAATTGGACCCATTCCTTATACCATATACAAAAATAAACTCACTATGGATTAAAGTCTTAAATGTAAGACCTAAAACTACAGAATCTTATAAGAAAACCTAGGAAATACCATTCTGGACATAGGCCTTGGCAAAGATTGTATGATAAAGTATCCAAAAGCAATTGCAGCCAAAACAAAAATAGACAAATGGGATATAATTAAACTAAAAAGCTTCTTCATAGAAGAAGAAACTATCTACAGAATAAACAGTCTACAGAATGAGAGAAAATATTTGCAAACTATGCATCTGACAAAGGTCTAATATTCAGCATCTGTAAGGAGCAAAAATCAACAAGCAAAAAGCAACTCCATTAAAAATGGGCAAAAGATATAAATGAACTTCTCAAAAGGAGACATACATGTGGCCAAAAAGCATATCAAAAACATTCAACATCACTAATCTTTAGAAACATGCATATCAAAACCACAAAGAGATATGATCTCACCACTACTCAGAATGGCTATCATTAAGAAGTCAGAAAATAACAAATACTGGTGACTTTGTGGAGAAAAGGAATGCTCATATATTGTTGGTAGGAATGTAAATTATTTCAACCACTGTTTTAAGCAGCCATGGCAATTGTTCACAGGAATTAAAAAGAACTACTATTTGATCCAGCAATCTCATTACTGTGTATATACTCAAAGGATTATAAATTGTTCTACCAAAAAGACACACACATTTATATGTTCATTGGAGCACTATTCGCAATAGCAAAGACATGGAATCAACCGAGACGCCCATCAATGGTAGACTAGATAAATAAAATGTGGTGCATATATGCCACGGAATACCATGCAGCCACAAAAAAGTACAAAACTATATCCTTTGCAGAAACATGGATGCAGCTGGAGGCCATCTTCCTGTGCAAATTAACACAGAATCAGAAAACTAAATGCCACACATTCTCACTAAGCAGGAGCTAAACATTTGAGTACACATGGACACAATGAGGTGGAATAATAGACTGGGTCATGCTTGAGAGTGGATGATGGGGGGAAAATGAGGGTCAAAAAACTACCTATCTGGTACTATGCTCATTACCTGGGTGACAAAATTATTTGTTCACCAAACACTAGTGACACACAACTTACCCATTTAACAAGCCTGCACATGTGCCCCTGAACCTAAAATTAAAGTTGAATAGGGGAAAAAAGTGGTAGAGATAATCTGTCTTATTCGGAGCCTTAGTCACAGTCACAGAGACCCTCTCACTAAAGCTTTAAACAGCCTCCTCTTCTCTGAGGCAAGGTAAGGACAATGAGGAGCATAATAAGTACGAATATCCATGAAAAAGGTGTGATTTATTACTATGGGTTCATATCACAGGTTGATATAATATTATTCATTTACATATTATTTCAATACATATTTATTGAGCACCTAATGTGTCAAGTCCTGTTTGTTGATTGAGGGAATACAGATGATTGCTGGTAGAAAGATAAGTCAGGGCCGGGTGTGGTGGCTCACACCTATAATCCCTGCACTTTGGGAGGCTGGGGCAGCTAGATCATGAGGTCAAGAGACTGAGACCATCCTGGTCAACACGATGAAACCCCGTCTCTACTAAAAATACAAAAAATTAGCTGGGCATGGAGACGCATGCCTGTAGTCCCAGCTACTCAAGCAGGAGAATTGCTTGAACCCAGGAGGCAGAGGT